AAGTATTAAAGCAAACAAAAAAAAATAAAAAGAAAAGACTCTACAGAGGACCAAAGTACTTAAACGTTACTACGCCGAAGCAGCGGTAAGTTTAACGTAATGATTAATTGTCGCTTACGTGGTGATAACGCATTGTCAATAAACGGGGGGAGAGAAAAGAAGCGAGAGAGAGGGAGAGAGAGAGGGGAAGACGAAAAAATGAAAAACAAAGGGAGAAAAAAAGAAAGAACGACGTAAAGGTGAATGGAACAAGGCGAGCGTGGTGCTGTACATTTGAGAACACGGTAAAAAGAACAACGAACAACGTGACAAAGATTGTCCGCGTAAATGTAATTAGTTTACTTATTAGACAGACACCCCGAGATATTGTATATGTATATGTACGTGTATGTTAGTCGAATGTCCCACACAGACACTTCACCTGCGACGACCGCCTCTGATTAATCTCGAAATTGTCACTGTCCCTTCCATTCAACTGATTTTTCATACGAATTACGAACGACGAATCATGAAAAGTTTGATCGATGATTATAGAATACAGTGGGGAATCGATCTTCTCAACAATTGTTCAACGATAGAAAAAGACAGCCTCGAACGTTTCGTTAAAGAATTAGAAGCGAGCAAAATGGTGATCACGATCGAACATTGAATCACCATTCGAAAGTGATCGAGGGAACGAACGATCCTCCCCGTTTCCTGTGATGATTGTTTCGTAGTTACCACGAATGAATCTGTAAATAGTATTCTTTTCCGTTTATTCATGCCGTAGAACGATAAACGATCACAGGGGGGGGTATTATTATTTAACAATAATCGCCGATCGAACGGCGCGACCGCGATTCGTTCAAGGCTGTCTAAATACGTCGGTTCCGCGGCGGAATGATCCGCGGCGGCGAAAGGGGGCGTGAAAAATGAATTATCCGTTGCATAATTAAACGGGTAACTCGCAGCCCGCCGGATAAGAAATAGGTTATCCATTAATGAATCCAATTACGAAATTAATTAGAGCGCGGTCCACGGCACGAGACGCCGCGCGATAATTTGGATTTCGCTCAAGTCACATGCAGAGTCAATAAATATGGAACCTGCGCTTAACTTACATTAAACGCCGGTGATGGGATCAGGACACCCGATAACGCGCTCGTGTACGACAGTCAATTCGATAACCGGGACTCGTTCGATCGGGTTCGATTAGAGAATTATTGAGAAAAATCGAATTCACGAAGAATCCACGTATATGATATATGATGTATATATATATACATATATATATATCGTATAATCCAGTCATTCTCGAACCCTGTAACGAGTTTAGAGACAGTTCAAGACTGTACTTACAAGTACCTGATACTAAGAGATCGAGTCCTTTTTAGGTCACACTTGAATCTCGCTAGGCGACAGAGTTGTTCCTTTCTACTCAATAGGCCATTCGATTTTCTGTTATCATTGCGAACAATTGTAAAACCAAAGTCGTTAGATGTGATTAGTATTATCGAGAATCTTTCGTTGCTTATTCGAATGGATGTCATTCTGAGACGATGGCTTGAGGGATTCTTTGATTTCGATTGTAGGACGAAAGAGAGAGAGGGAGTGATACTCGTGAAGAAGGTTTTCAATGGAATCACGAGTATCGTTCCGATTTCACGAAGTACCGGGATATTTCAGACATGTTCCTTTGAGATACTTGTAAATACTGTCTCTTCTTATTATCAAAACACCTGCTCGCGGGAAATCGACGAAGTTCTGCGAAGATTCGTTTATGCTTGTAAGTACCGGTCCTGTTTCTAGAAGCACTAATGGACGATTAGAAGAAGAAGAGTGTACAAGGAAGATTCGACGCCAGACCGAATGTACTTGCTCCCATCACTAATTACCGCCCATTAAGAGTCGTTTCACATGCACACACAGGTACTTACACACAAGTATTACAAGACACGGTGAGAATGATCAAGCGAATAAACCAGTCGCGAAGAGCGTAAGGACAACGAACGCGCGAATCGAGCAGTCGGGACCGAAATGATTTTAATTCATTGAAACGATCGTTCACGATCCTTCGAATCGATGCTCGTGAAATTCAATTATACGATCGTCCGAGGCGAATTTTTCCAAAATACATTCCAATCTCGCGAAGAAATCTATTAACGGATCTTCAATCGAAATCAACGATAACACACAGCTGTTCAAATTTCGGTCTCGGCTGCTTCCGTTTCGACGTTCGCGAGAAAGCAGGCATGATCATCGGTGTAAACCTGGCTCCCGGAAGAGGGACGAACGGCGACGGGGGACGAAAGAACGAACGGAAAGCCGAGGAGACACGGAGGGGACGCGAGGTAACAAGGAAAAAAAAATAAAACTGAAGAATAGGGTGTAGATTAGTGTGATACAAGGTACGACAAAGCAATAATTTAGTGATTGTATGATACATTTGATTAGTGAGTTAGCGTGCTAAGTTTAATGGTAAAACGTTTTCGGAACGTATAAA